AATTTTTTTATGTCACATATCAAAGTATAAATGTGAAAAGTATAATTGTGAAAAGACAAATGTCAAAAATGTCATGCTACAAAGACACGTGGATAGGGCATTGGCGATGTTTTGTAACGTTTCGTAACGTTTCGTAACGTTTCGTTACGTTTCGTTACATTTCTCCGTAGATGGAGCTAGTCGTACGGTATATTGACGTAGTCATAAATAAAGAAGAAAACTATGGTTATTAACTGTAATTTATTTTTTATACTAAATATTCTTCCGGATTCCATAGGATTCGTAACCATTACGAATTTCGGGTTTGATCGTAGTACTTCGTGAAATTTCGGTAAAATTCGACGAACTTCGGCTTAATTCGGTGAACGTAGCATGTGCGTCGAAAATAAGCGCGAAACTGGTATGTACATTTTTTTTTACTATCGCATACATAGAATAGAAGTCAGAAATATACACAAACAAGGAACATATAGTACAAAAAATTTAATTTTCTACAAATCAATTTCACCTGGTATATAAAGAGGCGTAAGATTCTTAATATAAATAACGCAATAATATTTAGTTTCCTTAAATTTTTTTCTGCAAAGACGATAATTCAATATACTTAAAATATCAAGAAAATTTTAACATCAATTGCATAAATGTTTGTTTTATGCACTTCTACACCTGCAGAGTTCCCTCAATAACAAATAACAGAAAAAAAATTAATGTAAGCGATGAAAATATGATTTAGAGTCAATTACGTTTACATTCGAAACGTAACATTTAAAAAAAATAGTGATTCGTGTTGGTAAGCATTGGAAAACTGCATTAAAAGTTAATCAAAATTATAAAAGATATGCTTTTTGAAAGCCATAAACACATTTTTATATTTTAATAAATAAATATATCTAAGTTACATTTATAATGCAATGAGTTGCATAAATATGAATAACTTGAACACGTCTTAATATAATATAGCACTGTATTTTTTACAGAAATTTCCAAAAAAACAATGCCAAAAAAAAAAAATAACAAGAACAGAGACTGCAAAATTCTATTCAATTCCTTTTAATGTGTCGATTACATTTGCACGCATAGAAAACGTAGATATTCTTCAAATTGAAATATTTTCCAAATTTTTATTGTGAAAAACGTGTCGAATTTACTATCACGAAAGAATCGTTTAACCAACAAATGGCTGACGTCCTGCACGTTGAATGTTTCAATGTACATAGAATGCGATGACAATCACCAAATGATTGACGTACGCACGAATAACCACAAAAAACAATAGAACATGTAGAATGACAGGAACGAAAAACGCGATGTATGCGCCTAATTCAAATCGTTTTGCTTTTGTAAATTTAGTACATCCTTATCCGTGATAAGACGACATTTGCACCCACCTCAAAAGACAAGCTTCCTCGTTTTATTGTATATAAACGGCAATATTAAACAGGTTATTATGACAATTGCTGTTGATATTTTGTTAAAGAGCTTGATACTAATTCGCGCACTCACATGTATACCGGCAATTCTCCGGTACTGGCTAGTGTTTTTACGAGAGACGTTCTTTCGAGAAGGTACCACTGGTAACTGGTTCCTTCGCGAAGTTTCGGATAGCTGAAATTGCAGACCAAATCGATTGTTGTGGCCTACAATACTGACTGACAACTAAATAAGAAATCATAGAAAATTCCCTAGGAAATATTGCAAATTTTTGTATCTATAGTTGAATTCCTATTTACAAATATAGGATCTTGATGTTGCTTTACGATACGAATGACATAATAAAATTGATGCAAATAGCATGTATTATCTTTTTAAAAATAGAGAAACCTCTGAATTTAAACATTTAAAGAATACTTGTTGTTATTTAAATAAATACTTGCTTCTTTTGCTTGTGTCATACATTTTTCATTAAGAAACAAGAAATCAGCGATCAACATTTATTATTATTACTATTTATGACATCTGTCAAATAAAAGTAACAATTTGCTTTCATAGAACTTTAAATTGGCTATCCTGTAAGCGTAAACTAGATATTATACAGAAAATCATATTATATCTTATTTTTAAAAACTAAGAATGATATATTAATTAACATTATATTTCTGTTATATAATTACTTTAATTTTTAGTATGTAATATGTATTTGATTATTTTAAGAATCATCTTGTAAGCAAAATTGTATATTTATTGATTTGCAAAACTACTAAATTCAAACCTTATATAGAAGTATCTAAGGGATAAACTCAAATCTTACCAATAACATTACGAGCTACGCAGTTTTGACAGCACAACCTTTTTGAAACTTGATCGTAAAAAAGAACAATTGTATTTATGTCCGATTAATTTTAGATGTTTTTTCGAAAAATAAAAGCTAAACAATATTGATATTGAAACCTTATAAACGATAACAATAAATTTAACGTAAATTTATTTCTGATAGATATTTCTGTGCTCATTGTTTATGAAATCTTAACATAAAATGAACGTCATTTGCTCTATATGTAGTGATCAATTGATGCAGTCTGATGATATTTTCTATACAAAATGTGGACACGTGTTTCATTTGCATTGTTTAACGCCATGGTTGGAAAGGTGAAGAAATATTAAAATATAAAAAAATATTAAAACATCTTACAGAAAACACCTTGTTAGAAAGTGTGAAACTTTGTCTTGCGAGGTGTATATACATAGCTTTTCCGTGATAATATTTATAATTGTAGTTTGTTATTTTCAGGTCAAAAAGCTGTCCACAATGCAGAGAAAAAGTTACACAGAATAAAATACATAGACTTTATTTCACATTCTCAAACAATGAGCTAGTTGAATCTCAAGGTTCGACATTGCAAGAAAAAGTAGACAGATTAAAATTTCAAATTTTATTAAAAGAAAAGGATATTCAATATCATTCCTCAAAAAATGTTACTTTAGAAAAACAAAATGCTGGTTTGAAGCAAGAAGTTCGAAAATTAGAGAGTGAAATGAACAAAAAAAATGCAGCAATACATGCTTTGAAGGAGCAAATAAATTATTTCAAAGAACAGAGTTCTCACTGTGATAATTTAAAAAGAGAGATTAATCAATTAAAAAATAAGATTGAAGATCTTAGGCCGTATATAATTATTATCATATACATAATATATTGTATATTTGGTTACATATATATCAATGTTTTGTGTGTTTTAGAATACAAGTATTATTACATGCCCCTATCAGTGATGTTAGTAAAATGGTTGGAAAAACTAAAGATCCTCAAACACTTACTATGTATATTTCTGTTATGAAAAAGTCAGTTCTGTCTTTAAGAGCATGTTTTTAAAATTCATACTATTATTAACATAATTATATTTATAGGGAATTAATTGAAAGATTTAATAAATGTAAACAATTACGCATGAGTGTTAAGAAGCTCCAAGAAGAACTTTCTAAAGTTAATACAAAATCACCATTAGAACAATCAAAACGAATGTAAGATTTAAAAAATGTATTAAATTTACATGAATGTCATATTATTATTATTATTATCATTGTTATTGTTATATTAGGGATTTAGAAGAGAAGCTAGCATTTTCAGAAAGTAAAAATATGGCATTACAAAAAAGAGTTGATGAATTAGAAGAGATACTTGGCATTAATGAAAAAAGTAATAGTGAATTAGAAGTTCAAACAGCAGAAGATGAAGATAACATTTGCAAAGATAGTTCGACTGAAAAAACATCCAAAAAATATGATCAAGATACCTCAAGTAAAAATTCTATATTAAATTGTACAACTAAACAGAAAACTGAAAAGGTTTGATATTGAATGTAAATTAATAAGGATAATTAAAATTAATTATTAGTTACAATTATTTTACATTTTTTTTACAGATATGCAATATTAAAAGTGTACAAGAAAAAATAGAGACAAATAATTGTCAAATAGAAAATAATACAAGAGATTTAGAAATAGATTTATTAAATTGTAGCTCTTCCAAAAATTCTTCAATAGAATGTAAAAGATTAAAATTGTTAGATGATACAATCACTTCACATAGAAGTGATAACGATAAATCCTCAAATAGTTATATGTCAAAAAAAAGAAGGAAAAATAATACTAAAAGAAAAATATCTGATATTGAAAACAAACATGATAATCATGTGATTGATCTAACTTAAAAAGTTCCTATAAATATTATATACTATTTCTTTTATATAAATCATTATTTATATTTTAGAAGTATATATAGTATTTTTCATTGTAATTATTGGATTTTTGAGTTTTTAACAAATAAAATATTCTACTTTCATATTTTTTCGTCATTTAATTGATTTATAGTTATTTTAACATAGGAAAAGCAGTTCCAACAAATTTTGTACCCTTATTTTGCAATATATATGTTTGAATATAAAATTTAAATCCTGCAAAAAATAATTGACACCTTTTGTTTGGTCTTGTAAAAAAACAAAGTGTATAAAGTGCTATTTCCAATTCTGGGATGGTTCCAACAAACATAGTTGATCTTTTACGTTTTCCAATATAAGTGAAATATATTTCTAGAATGACAACTTTCTAAAAACCATTATGAAGTAATTTAATTAATTTTATTCATTTAAATTTACATTTATACTTACATTAATAAATTTCTGCCAATGGCCAAATCCAAAATAATTAATTTTATTTGATAGTTCTCCATAGGAAAAAAAAATCCAATTATGAAGCCCTATAATACCTTTACGTGGTTTTCTTTCTCCTACAAATACATGTTCAAATCCAGAAGAACCATTTATATTTTTACTCCGGGAATATGAATGAAACCAAATTTGTTTTAAGATATCTTTATGAACTTGTATGTTATTTTTAAAAAAACCTTTGCTTGACAGAAAGTACATAACACGTGACATTATATCTGTTTTCATTAAATCATCAATAAATTCATTCTCTTCAAAATCTTTTGTCTTTGTTAGAACTTCTGGCTGATAAGTATCCAATTCATAGTTATCAAATAGCTTTACAAAAGATTTTATCGTTGATATTGAAAATACATTAGATGATATATTTAACAATCTAAAATTAAAGAAACTAATTATATCTCAATTAAAAGAGAAAATTTAGAAAATACCTTTGTGAAGCATTATCACTAAAATTATTAAAATTTATTTGTCCTTGATAATTTATATGTACATTATTGGATAATTCATAAGAAAACTTATTAAATAATTCTTCTGAAATCATCATTAATTCCATGTCACTTGTCAAAGACACATTTGTATTATTGAAATCTATAAGACGAACAAACATATTAAATACATGAGATGAATTTAAATGCTGTTTTATTTCTGTTTTATAATTACTATTTATTTGACGAATTGTACGGGAATATATAACTACAATATTTAATAAAACTAATATGTAAATAGAAATTTGAAAAATTTTATTTAACATTTCTCTAAAGTGCCATATTTTAACTTTAGTAAATAATTTAGGTTATGTCAAATGTTCCTCTTATTTAAAACTATTTATTTAATTATAATGTAAAATAAAAACTACATACATTGATAATTAGTAATTTAAAAATACCAAAAGTTTCCATTTCATCTTAAATTAAAGTAATAACGATTTATATAATATATAACTTTTATGTAATCATTATACAAAAAGATTGTTCAAAGATGTAGAATTTTGTATAAAAAATTTTAAATAAATAAGAGTATTTATTTTTTAGATGTAATGCAAAGGTAAGTAAAAAAGGATTAATGTTAAAAAGAAAAACTGTTCAAGAATGTTAATTTAACATCAAAATTCGTTTAAAATTATAATTTATATTTTTAATTTTTTAATATTAAATTTTTAAAAATTATAATATGTAATAGTTAATGTACAAAGGTGTCGAGGATACCGAGTACAAATTTTGTTTACAAATGGCTGACATTCGTTTATCGTAGTACCTTTTTATTATAAAAATGTCAAATCAAATGGAATATATAATTTCGCCGTGGGAAATCGAATCATATATACAATATTTAAAAATTTCAGAACTTGAAGATATTGGAACGAAAGAGTTAATTCTTCTTAAACATTACAAATATATTTCTTACACACTATAACTCAAATATTATTTTCAGATGGTTTGAATTTCATAAAAAGTTAATATTATTAAACCAACAAAGCGTATTAGAAATTAATGCCTTGCGAGAAGAAAGTACTAAAGAATGGTTTGTTTCTTTTAAAAAGGTAAATAAAATATATTTAAATAAAACATACAGTAATTCCTTACATTAATGTTATTTTTTTTGTATATAGATTCCTATTCTTATATATGAAGCTATACAAATTGACATATGGAAGCATAAAGTATTTCCACTTCTAATAGAAATAAACGAAGAACCAAAAAATACTTTTATGCTTTATACTGTATTTTATCACGAAGATATTGCCGTTTCATTATTGGAAAACGTGTTATTTCATTGTGAAAGTGCAGAAACTATAAATGATTCTGCTCTTGACCTCGTCGATTATGCTGTTAAAAATGTTTCTTTACTTCTCGATATGCCTAATATCGAAATTTATGAAAATGTAAAAGATCCAAAGTAAGTTAGTTGACACTCGACGTTATTTTAATAAGAGAATAAAATTGAACAATAATGGTAATAATTATTGTAATTAGCTCATGTCTTGAAGAAATACTTGAAAAAAAAAAAGAATTTGAATTTGATATCGGCATACGTTGCATTTCAATACTTCGTTACTTGGCAGAATACGCAGATAATTTACCATTGTATGTATTATCACGATTATTGGCTACACACGATGTACCCTATTTACTTGCTGAACTTATTGAAAGACATCCGTGGAAAAAAGAAAATGCGGAAGGTAAATAATATTACATATGCATTAAAAATTCTGAATCCGATAAAATTGTTTATCTTTAAGGAGAAAATGTGATATATAATAGTGGTTGGAGAAAAGTAAAATCAAGCGAAGAAGGGAAAATTTCTAAGATAGAAGCACAAACTTGGCTTGGTTTAAGGGAATTACTGCTCAATTCAAAAAGTGCATCCTACTATGAAATTACTGAACATAGATTTTCTCAATTGTTAAAAGTATTCTAACATACATTACATTTTATATCTAATTTTATATATTGTATTATAAAAAAAAGTTGTTCTGCTTTAGTTACAGAAATATTTACACGAATGTGTATTGGATCAAATTTCTCCTTTAATAGATTTAAAAAGATGGTTAAATTATTTAAGTGTATCGTCATCTAATGCTAGTGCACCACAAGCTGTAAATGTGGAACTTTTACCACAGGTTGAAAATTGTTCAATTAACTTAGGTTTCATAAAATATTAAATAAATACTTTAATTATTTTATTAGATAAAATCATCAATAATGGAAAAATACCATAAAAAATGGAAAAAGTTAGCAAAACATCAGTCAAAATTTATATACAGTACAGATGCTGATTACATTAAAAACACTGCTCAAATTCTAAGTGATGCATATGATTTAGAGAAATTGGATTGCGTTGACATTAAAGAATGTTTTTTATGTCATGAAGAGGCAAAAAAACGTTGTTCTAAATGTAAAGAAGCTTGGTACTGTGGAAGGTATATATGTTTTCTCATATATTTATAAAGCATTATTATCTTTTTTTTTAAATAATAAATACTCAATTATTACAGAGAATGTCAAGTAAAAGATTGGGTAAAACATAAGAATATCTGTGAGAAAATAATAAAAAATGTAGAATGTGAATAGAAAAATTTAAATTCTTTTATGAGGAAAAACGTTTCACTTTCTTATAGTGTTGTCTTCAGTGTTTGTCAAATTAAAAATATAAAGAAATGAATAAATCATACATACAAACTTATATCCAATATTTTATTAAATCTTAGTGTACAGAACTTTGTTTCACATATTCCATTACAACATCTTTTGCAGGAGTATCTTCCCCAAAGTCCTGAAAATAAATAGATAATTTCTAAATAGAAAAGATTGCTAAACAGAATAAGTTACCAATACTAAATTATTAAATCAGGAAGGCATTATCGTAGCATAGTTTATTAATTAATCTCTCAGTAGAGGAAGCCTTTGTTTTTATCAAATGTTTAGAAATTAATTCATATTTTACACAACTTATACCTTTATAACAACACAGGAGCAACCAACAACTTTTCGAGCTTTGCCAGCACTATCAATTTTGCAAAGACCAGCCCATTCGCCAAGTTTTTTATTATTATCTACCCTGATCAAGGGAATCTGATGTTCATTGCATAATGCTTGTACTAGTTTTTTATACATGGGTTCATCACAATTTTCTGCCAAAATGCAAAGCATGGCTTGTCTCCTAGAATACAACAAATAAATTATATATAAAAACAATCTAATATTGACATGATAGACTAGAGAATAGTTATTTAACGTATCAGATAAAGTTATATAACAGCATTATTAATTTTAAAAATGGGTTCTCTCAGTAGAGGGAACCTAACATATCATCATAATGATAATAATATCTATGAGTTTTGTTTTTTATTTTATCAAAATATAAAACTTATTCAATAAACTCACTTGTCTAATGCTTTGGCAGCTTCGTGAAGACCATGCACAACACCATCATGAATAAGTGCATTTTTAAGAACTTCTTGAAGGGCTGTGTTTACATCCATTGCACCTCCTGCTGTCATAGCAGAAGGTCCATCATCACTAAAAATAAAAGAATAATTGAAGTCCGTTAATGTAATTCTTTATATAAAACTTTTAGGTTATATAAATTTATGGTTATCTGATGACTTTATATACAAAATCAGTTTCGACAAATTCCAACATTCAAAAAACAGTTTGTACAATAAAGACAATATGTATTTATTATTTTAACGCTTCTATGGTTTTAACTTAGTATTTTTTTAATAAAAAAAACTTAATATCAGTATTTTTATAACAGGTATACAAAACATACTTACTTTTCAACATCTGACATGTTTTTCACGAATTGAGAACTGAAATAATAAAATAATGTTAGTTATACTGTCTTTAGGTTTACATTTTAAAATTTTTTCAAGTAAAAATCATAATGATGATGTTGTAATAAATTGATTTTTAAGTCGCCGCTCCGCAACATGCTTCTATATACCTTTTCGTGCGAGGAAAGAGAAATGGCGCTTATTTAAGCACACGATCATTAACTAAAAGATACACATAGACACGCCATCACATGCGATTTCATGTCACATTTCGAAATATCAATTTCCAGAAAAATTACAATACTTCTTACGTTCTTTGCGATTTACGACAAAGATTATTTTTGTCATAATAAAGAAAGAAATAAAATATTATTCAACATACTGAATAAAATTTGTAAATCTTTATATATGCATATTGTTAAATGAAATGTAAAAAGAAAATTTAATTTTAAGGATCCAAAAATTAATAAATCTTTTTAATTAATCTTTTCAATTAATTTTTTTACAATGAAAATTTTATCAATTTGTAGATATTAAAATACTAGCGCTACGTAGCGATGAAATAATACCATTAACTAGGACCATTGACTAAAAACAGAACAGACTGGACATTAAATGGAATCTCGTGTCTCTAGGTCTGAAATACCGACCAGGAAAAAGATCATTGGTTTTCAACACACTCTACGCTTAAACCATAGACTACTGATACCATTAATACAGACGAGGTATATGAACCTTGGCCAAATAAAATACACTATATTCATGTCTAGTTTATTCTTAAAAAAATTAAATTTATTAAATTTTAACCTAAAATTAGACTAAAGAAAAATTAATTTACAGACGTAACATTTTTGTAAAAATTTTATTCAATGAACAAAAAGAATTAGAGGAAGGAAGTTTTTGTTCTTTTTTCCAAGTTATGCAATATATTTTTGTACGAAATGCGTGTGTAATAATTTTGATTTTAATGAAGATTACAGCGCCATTAAAGCGGTGAAATTTTGCGATTACATATTGCGATTCTCGACATACATAATCGATGTTTCTTGTAATCGATCTAATCGATTTAATCGATCTAATATTGGAATGTAACGTAAAACTGTCAGTTTTAAACGGGAACATGACAGGAAAGGTAGCAGGCAACTGTTTATCCAGAAATTGTCAAGTAAAAACTACCAGTAAGTAAATACGTCTACAATTCAAAACCGTGAACATTATTTAAAAGAGTTATTATATGTATATATATATATATATATATTCAATCATGATGTGTTATAGATACCGAATTTAAGGATTTATATTTAATGACATTTGTAATGACTTCTCCTGGACCACAATTATATATGTTATTCTTTCCATCTAGTTGTAAGTCGCACGTAAAAGTATCAAAAGCATGGTTAAAAATGTCAATTCTAAGAATTAGTAAAATGACTAGTAATTATAAAAATCGAAGAACGTAAAATTTATAATATTTTCATATATAATTTCAATGTAAGTAAAATTTTTCGATCTTTGGGATAGAATTTGAAAAAAGAACGAACAATTATGATATTTGTAGGACTTTATTTTTCTAAAGTATTCAATAAAAAAATTTTACTTATAACCTGTACATTATGATAGAAGCAGTAAGTATAAATACAATTCTTACATACTTAAAACTTAACACGAAAAAAACACTATTGCTTTATATATGTTTATCTAAATATTTTATCATATGTACAATACTTTTAGTCTTTCTTACCAATAGATATAACTACAATTATGACATACTTGCTTATTTCATACTTGACATTTAATTTATACTAAAAGTCATTAACTGCACGCTTATAATGAACCTACTAATTATTAATTATCGCTGAATGCTTAAAATTTATATTATCTTTTCAAATTGTATTGCAAGTTATATCTATTCTTTGGAACTTTCAAAACTATGGTAAAATTTACAATTGCTTTTATGAATTGATATAGGTACTTAACGCGAATGACTTAGTTGTTTAAAAAATTGCTAACGTTGTCACAAAGGGAAAACAACCAACTCTTTATGCTACGTTGGTGGAGAGTATCTGTGATAAGGCCAACAATAATGTGATGGAGGTGGCGGTGGCGGCGGAGGCGGTGGTGGAGGTGCTGATGGATGTTGCGAGCTTGACGGTGCTGTCGGATATAGATGATGAGTATGATGAGAATGATGAGGATGGCAATCCGCGCCTGTACCTCGGTTCGCTGGAGATGCCTCTAACGTGACACCAGCTTGAGTCTGACATGCTATCATCAACCCGTGAAAATCAAACTTGTATGCGTATCGTTTCCCGTGCACTTTCGTCATGATATTTTTGTCGTAGTAATATCTGCGAAACAGATAAGGACTATGATTCTTAATCATAATTATACAAATATAGTTAGTTTAGAATGTTCTAATTCTTAGGAATTGTTAGGAAGAGACCAGTGACGCTACACTCTGTAACGTCATGTGATTTTCACAGCGTATTGTTAGTAAATTTCAACAACTGCAATGCCTAACAGAAATCCGCGTACAATTAAAATAAAGATTCGTGTTTACCTGAGCGCCCGCGATAGTTTATCGTAGTTCATGTTCGGTTTACTCTTCCGTTCGCCCCATCGGCGCGCAACTTCGTCCGGATCGGTAAGTTTGAATTCGCCGTTCGAGCCCTCCCACGCAATACAGGATGAGTTGGACGAATCCGAAAGCAGCTCCAGCAGGAATTGCCAGAGTTGAACTTGTCCGCCTCCGACCGCCCCGGAACCCACGGCTCCAGCTGTCGATCCAATCAGGGAGCAAGTTCGTTGGAGGAGGCTGAACCTCTCTACGAACAAGAAGCAGAAACACGCATGCACCGACAGACCTTCACTTCCTCGAGGTCGATTCGTCGAAACCTTGAGGGAATAGTGATGGTTGCAATCATCTTTTGCTTGTCATTTTCTCTTTGTTTTTTTTTAATGTATTTCACTTATCTCATATTTATTTCAACAGTGCTTTTCTCTGTGAATTTCTTCCAAGTCGGAATTTCAAGTAACACTTGACGAGGAAGAATTTTGGTAGGTACGGGGCGATTCATAGGATTTGATGATATTAGGATTTACTTGAATAATCATTTGCCAATTAATAATAATATTGGCGAATCGACAGAACTTTCAAAATTATTCTCAATTACTGCTGTTAATTAGGTATATAAATATTTAGGGAGTATTTATTAGTTTGACATGATGTTGTAACTTAAAAAATCATATTATTCCAAAATTATATCACTTCAAATTAATTCCGCCGAAAAATATTCATGAAAATTATTTAAATTAACATTGAAATTAATTATTACAATATTAGCATGTAATATTAAACAAAGTTTGATAATAGAGTAACTTAAATTTTCTTTTTTAAATTATGAAGTTTCAAGCAGGATAGCTAGACAACAAGCTTTCATTTTTCTTTCTTTTCGCTTCAAATTTTTAATTCAATACGAAAGTTAGAGCTATATGGACAGATACCGTTGTAAAGAATGGCAGCTGCCGAAGGATGGAATCTGCTGTCCTGCTGAAGATGCAACGGATGTGTTTGAATTCTCCACATAACGCGTTCAACTGTATCGTGAGCCTAATCATTCACCGCATGAACAACGGTGATCGGCTGACCCGTTGTTAATCTCATTACGAAGGTACGTATTACGAAAACCATCTTTCTTTATCGTTTAATCCGTCTTTTTAATATTAACTAGAATTTAATTTCAAGATAATTTGCCACAAATTCGAAGACTGATGTCTATAAATGATTCTGTTCATAACAAATTCTATTATAAAAATACTTGATTTAAATTTAAAATATCGTGATATGTTTTCGATTCACAAAACTATTGCACAAGTCAAGATAAACACGAATATTCGAATATTTTTTCCTTCTTTTTATTATTTTATTTAATCACTTTTAATATTTTTTATTCCAGTGAAATTGAAAAACAATATTATATAGGCACTGCATTATAACATTGTGTATTTGAGGATTCGGATTTAAAATTTTCCCGACGATGACTAATATGATCTTGAATGGTTATCGAGTATCTAATTGAAAATAATAATAATAAAGAAAAAGAATAAACCACATGGTTCACGTATTTTATCACGCACAAATTGTATACATGCACAGATGTATCGCGTGATAAAACGTGGATACGAGCAGAATAAAACGCACCAGACGGAGGACAGAGAGTAACTGCGAGAGTAAGCGACCTTTGCCCCCGGTGATTTCATCCCTTATCGCCCCCACTCTGATTCCCGTGAACGAAATACTTTTACACGTTTGTATTATACCACTCTCATTGCCCTAAAGATGTAGATATTGAAATTGATAATCAAATTCGAATTCTTAAACAATTTCACATTCTTTTCATTTGGAATTTTTCCCTGGTAACGCTTTTCATACTGATAGAACAATTTCCCTAAGAATGCTTTCATTTTTGGTTTGGCTTTTAATTTGATTTTCCTGAGAAAAGAAACAATTTTTGCACGAGTTTATAACTCACAATTTCAAACGTTGAAGTTGACGAAGTTTCCAACAGTTTAACGATCAATGTGCAACAAAGATGAAAAAGAGGATTTTTGCCAAATCGAAGGAAGAAATTCAAGCAACGCTTTTCATCGTACACCAGACATTTTTCAAATCTTACTCGAATAGAAGTGATTCTCGATCGACTACGCAAACCGAGAAAGAACGAAAGCTATAGTTAAACATAGGTATAGGTACTAATGACATTTGTCGGGGGTGTTGACTCCGACTGATAGAGGTTTCAAAGTGTTTTCAGTTATGCGACGTCGCGTGAAATTATCCTGTATACGGCGGGAGATTCGGGGGATGTTTCGCGCTCATCAAGAAAACAATATAGCCGCACCCCGTGGCGAGCTTACCATCCCTTGCCTGTTAGAGTTTGCTATCCCCTCCCCTGACAATGTAGATGGCAAAGGAGAAGGGTGGTAGCGGTTACTGCGAGGCCGTAACCCGAGGGTGGCGGTACCACCACCTTTCCGCCGTCCTAAACACTCGATGGTTTATTCATGAGAGCTCTCTCACCACGATAACACTGATTCGTTTAATAAACGGCCGCTGCCGGGCGCGGAGTGTGCCCCCAAGAGCACCTACAACGTTATTCAAACGGACAATATATCTCGGAGGCTTACACTGCCAAGACTCTGCCTCTTCTCGCTTTTCGCCCGTCGTCGGCCAAAAGGTGAATCGCTTTTTTTTTTTTTCTCTTTCGCCGCTGCCATATCATCTCTAGCTCCTGCTCTTTGCTCACTTCCGTGAAACCAGCTTCGAGATAAGTACTTACTTTTTGTTTTCCAGATCTGCCTCCGCGTCTTTCTTTTGCGCTTTCTATTTTTGCAAGTTCTCATATTGGAAGATTGACTACTTTGAAGCTCGTAAAGTTCAATCGGATCGATCGTTTGTTATTATCTAGGATTCAGAGAAATTATGGAGGAGACAGATTAAGGTAAAAATAGAGTATTAATAATACAAATTATTATCAGAGCATCTTTGTCGTTAAGTTGGAAGTTCGAGGTGGATAGAAACGAATGAAGAGAGGAACGAAGCTATTATCGTCTACCATATTTATTTTCCTGCCGGACCCTCCTTATCTCTAATAGATCGCGCCCTCGTTAAAGCCTAAGATAAGGTCGAAGTGTTCGCGAGTGGACTAGAATCTACCCTGGGGAACGGTTAGCCTCTTCCGGTCACTTTCAATCCGACCTGGACCCCTATTAACCTTTCCTAAGCTCCATGAATCGCGTGTCATTTGGATTTACTGCGAGAATTCTATCCGCAATGCTTACACCTACTTTTACGTGTTATAATAAATGATGCCGATATGTTAATTTCTAACTTTGGATTTAACAAGAAACATACAGACATTTATAATATAGTCTATTCATATTTTTACGAACACAATTGAAGATACAACCTGAACGAAGATTTGTCTTATCTATTAAATATCTATTTCTGTAGCAATAAATATCTTAACAAATTTTACATAGCTCACACTTGTAAATCAAAATAACACTTTTTAATAATACGTTCATACAATAATAAAATTTATTCGCTAAAGTCTTTGTCTTAAAAATGACATGGTATATGAATAGAAAAGCTGGCAGATTTATGTTATTTTTATGTATTATGATTCTGATTACTTACCGTCAATTTTCTCCTCATTTTGCAACAAATCCGGCGTTTGTATACCGGTTGCCTGGAATCGAAGATAACCCAGGTGTCGGGCTAAAATTTTTCCACCAGGAATAGCTTGCCAATAATCGGACGATAATTTTAATAACTCTTTGCCAGTTGATGGAAATTTCATTGTACTAGGTGCTGGTTTTATAGAAAACGCGTTGCTGCACCATAGAATCCACGATGCGATGTGACTTGAGTTCCATTCCGACGGATCTAAATAACATAACATTTTCTAGAATCTTTGTCCATTTCATCGAGCAAAGCGAATCAAAATAATTACCAGACGGAACCATCACCGGTTTTGATTCCATGTCGTCTCCTCCGATCTTCTTTTCAAGATACTCGATTCGCTTTCACATTTGTGTTGATTTGTAATCGATATCATAAGTTTCAAGCTTGCTCGCCAACATGTTGTCAAATCATTCATTTTCCTCTGGACTCATGTATCTATTTCTACGTCATTTGTAAGTTGGACTCTTTATATATTTGATCCTGTAGATTTATATCCTATGGTTAAAAACTGTTCTTTGAACGTGGAATTTTGCGTGTTATACGAATATCATTCACTCGTCAATTCGCTTTCAATGATCTTTCGTTTCGTCTTTGAGAAATTGTCCTGCGTTTTCATTTCCTACGACCTGCAAATATGGCTGAGACCTTCGCAAATTGTCATTTCGAGTATATAAGTACATATATATCGATTATATGAATCGCTTGATATTCCTCAGGATTGATATCCTTCTTCGGAGTGTACATAATACCTACTTTAAAACATGTCCTCTTAATCTAATCTTTGATTTGTATCCATTCTTCAACCTGATTCTTCGACTATTTCTATTTATTTTCCTTCAGATACGAATGCGTATGTATGAGTATCTTTTCTAAAAAAAAAAAGTTGCACTCTATGTTTATTTCTTTCGTATTAAATTTAAGTTGTTCCACTTTTCAAGAGTGCTCCCAAATTATTTCCGTCCGAAAATAATCTCATGTATATGCAAGGCAGCAGGTAACTACTGTTGAAATTAGCGTGATTTCCACATCGGTCGATTCATGCGTTTCCTTGAAACGAGCCACATGCGTCATCGAGGCTCGTCGATTTCTCCGGTGAATCCTTATAGTACTGCTGATGTTATTGCATGCTGTGGCAGTTCTGAACGAGAAACCGGATGAAAAGGACTATTCACCAGCCGACGTATTTCCTCGGATACAGGACTTGGATAATTTGATCAACAGATCAGAAACGTTCGAAGTGTTACTTAACATCAGTTCGCGAAAATATCGAAAGTTATCGATTTTGAAAAGTTTGTTTTTCTTACAATAAGTTACGAAGGCATTAATTGCCGTGACAAGGAATTCTGTTTCGCTTCATATGTAAATTTATTAATTGTACCTTTCAATTCGACTCGTTGCTCTTAAAAATTCGAACGAATTCATTAAGAACTCGAATGTGCGTTTCTGCAAGAATGATTATATTGTGAATATGTCGATATGAAAATGCTTTTCGTTTCAAAAAAGTACGGCAAAGATTTCATTCTAATCTGTTCTTTAACATCTCGACGAATGTTACACAATATGATGAAACAATTTCAGTTGCCGTGAGTAAAATCAGAAACTGTGTTTGGAAATATTAGATTTTGAATAGCTATCTTATCATTTATAGATGTAAAAGAACAAGCATGCTTATACGTTACGATGTATATGTATGTATATACAAGTAGATGTAATTAATTCATCAGAAATGTTCTCTCTAATAAGTTAACTGAATAATAAATAGTGATTTCAATCACGATCGGATCTTCTCTAAATTGACCCATTTCTAAAATAGTCTTAAGAAAGATCTCTACTCTCATGAAACAACACATCCGACACGAAAAAATTGACTTTTTCACACTGATTATTACTCGTATTCAACTTTTCACGTATGTGTACGCGCATAGATACGATCGATGTAGATTTGTCGTTGAATTTCACATGTTATATCGTCACGTTCCAGATGAACACTGTTATTGAATGGAGCTGATGTCGAAGGTCCGATTGGCGGAGTACGGATTCCCGGAACCAAGAAGGAGACCGGTCGGTTTCGGGGCGTACATCGCCAACCGCTGAATCACGTTCAATCGGCCATCTTTACCTATTTTTTCTTCCCTTTCTTCTTTTCATTTTGGACGATCAGACGAGTCAGCCTGACCGTTTGAGATGTGACCTCTCGAGCAAGCTGTCTAACCCATATTTTTTTGTTCATTATGATTCAATATTCCATTTTGCAGTTTTGCGATTCTGATTGGCCCTGAAATGAAATGAACACGATGAATTTATTATGATGATTCGCAAAGCTTCGAGCTGAGTAAACCACTTCTGAAAGAACATTTGCTATTTGTTAAAGAAATAATCGAAGTTGATACATCAATTATCTCTTTTGTTACGAGGAATATTTTAGACATTAATACACGTAGAAATTATTGAAACGTGTCAAAAAATATAATGACGGTTATTTCACAGAACTGAACAAATTAATTATAATTAATTTGTTCAGTTCTGTAATTTAATTCAAACCACATTTCATATAATAAAGAATCGTTATATCTTATCAAAATATTTAATTTGAATGAATATTATAATTACTAATAAATATGAAGAAGCATCATGAAACTACAAAAATAGTTGTCTGCATCTTTTAAATGGATATATGTACATGCATATGTTATATCTTCATAAATTTAGTCAGCCAAATATAAGAAAGCTGAGGTCTTCTGGTAAATTTAATCATGCCCATATTTTCTACTTTGTTCTAGTTTTTGTCGATGATTATCTTAGAATAAGGAGAGATCACATTTTACTCATCATTGAATTTTGTCCTTCTTTTCATCACCATTATCTCTCTTTATTTAAAATATTTTTAATTTTGTACTCTAAATTAATTCTTATTTTACATTATTCTAGTCATTATTACATCGATTTCTCTTTACAATTCTTTTTATAGTATAATTTAACGAATTTCCAATACGGAATTAATATAAAATATCCAATGTGATATTTGTAAAACATATAAATTATTATTGCAATAAATTTGATCTTTTTCTGAATCTAAATGGAAATAATACAAAAATGATTTATTTTGTTATAATGAATTAATATGTGCATTAATTTAATAATTAATTTATAAACTATTAAGCGCGCGAACCAAAGAAATTAATCAAATTAAGATTAATTTATTCGATTTTAAATAAATATCTAATTATGTTATAGAATATATACATATTTCTTAAGTATTATTAATTGTAATATTCAGTGATATTCATTAAGTAATATTTACAAATATGAATTATAAATTATTTTCGAATGAAATATATTTGAATATGTGCGCTGTTTAAATCAAAAAAGTGCAGTACAATCAATATTTAAATAAAAATTTGAATGAATACAATGAATAGAAATGTATTACACTTTTCATATTAAAATTCATTTAATGTTTAGTCAATATTAAAAAACATTGATATTTAATTACTGTTTTTAAATCAGAAGCTCATTTGAACAGCAGTATAAAATAGTAAACTACAAAGAACGCAAATCAGCTGTGAACTGTCAGATTTTTGTATTGTCACAAATTTATTCACATTTGTAATTTATTTGATTTAAAAATATTAAGGTAAGGAGTTTAATTATACAATTTCTATTTTTATCTTGTTGCATGAAAAATATAAATATGTTTTAATTTGAAAAATAATGGTGTGCGCAAAAGTGAGGTTAGAAATGCTTGTTTTTGAATGAAGTGATTTTGTAAATACAAGAAACAGGTGATGCACAATGTCTCCTGATCCTACACAAGAGCCTGTTGAGGAATCATTAAATGTACCAAATTTACCTCTTGATAGAGGAATAAATGCATCAGATAGCGAAGATGATGATATAGGAATGGCAGGATATGTACCATTATCTCAGATTCCTGCAGATAGTGATCCAATGTTGTATGAAGATGAAGTATGTCTATTATTTAATAATATTTCATTTATATATAATAAGTATTTATATTACATTTATTTCTTTATTTCTTAGGATGATGAATGGATAACTAATGCAGGTGAATCTAATCAAACATTAAGATCTCCAATATTAGAATCACAGAATGTATGTATTCTTTTAGATTTAAGGAAAAATGTAATTATATTTGTTTTTTAGTATTTTTAATAATTTTAATTTTTACACTCCCTATAGGATTCCATGTCGGAAACAATAGAAGTTTGGTCATCGCCTCACAATCGGTCCAATATAGATATGGATGCAGATAAAATCAATCAAGTAAAATCTATGATGGCATCTTTTACTTTACCAATTACAGCAATTCCAGAATGGGCAAAAGCTATATCAGAAGAACAATGGAAGGAACAACTTATTGGACGTATTAAAGAAATGCAAAATAGAGAAAAATAAATTTCAATATTTTAATTAATTCTTTTATATAAATTATGTATATAAATATACAAATTAGAGTAATTCTTTTTCTCCTTTTTAAGCTATAAATTTGATGTTTGTTAATAAATATAAAATTTCAAAATAATTAAATCTAGTGTATACATTTAATTGTATACAGTAGCTAAATCTGATATCGTGTAAATTATAACAAATAAAAATATTTATTTTATCTTAATTGGATTTTCGTCATACGTCTGTTTATATATTTTCCATATAAAACTATTTTGCATTTTATTATTGTCAATATACTTCACTTTATACAACCACTAAGTTTTTAATTTTTTATGATAAATGGTTATAATGGATATGAATATATGATGTGATACTGTTCAACATTTGAAATCATGCTTCTGCCCAGTCATACACTGCAAAGAACACATTTGAATCATTGATGGATGTCGAATAAAGGTACAATTGACACTTATAGTTCGAGATCTGCACTGATAGCGACAGCTTTTTTAGGATTTAATTTCATTCGTAAAGCGGCAACGTCATCTTCTATTCTTATCAATTTTCGGAATTTCTGGAAAGAAAATACCACATAAAAATGTTGCGGAACTAAAGATTTTTGAAAAGAAAATTGCTTTTAATTAATGTACCTCAGAAATAGTTCCAGGTGTTGTAAACCAGATATAAATCATATATCCGGGAATACATAACATCGAAGAAAGACCACAAAGCCACCCTAACACATGACTCCACCATGGATATTCATACGTAAGATATTTTACGGGAACGAATTTAATTATGTTGAAAGTGAAAACTCCCTGAATTAAAAATTTATTTTAATTAGACATCATCAAAAATGTATATTAAGAATTATAGGATAATTATTGTTTTACCACACAAATGGCAGGAGTAGTAAATGTCCAACATATTTTCCACCAGCAACATGGATAATAACCGATCATGTCGCGAATTCCATCGTAAAACCGATTTACACCGAATGCCCACGAGACAGAAATACATTCGAAGAACATTAAAAACAATAGGCAAAATCCACTAACAGCATACGAATCCAAGAGTTGAAAAACATACATTCCTCCCTAAAAAGAATTACAAGAATATGTTTTTCCGTGATCGATTTATATCTAATGATGAAATTTAAATTTTACCTACTTACCTCAGTAACACAAAAAAGACCGATAAGATACGAGATAAAGCATACAATTGCTATGAATAATTCTTTTCGTTTTCTAAGAAGATGCGGCCATTCATCGACCGCGGCTGTTATAAAGCCTTCAACTGTACAAAACTACAAAACATAATGATCGATCATTTCATTTTCGTTTCGTTAAAAATATTGTAAATTACCTGACTATCTAATCCAATAAGGATAAGCATAAAAAAGAATAAACAAGACCAAATTGATGATCCTGGTAATTCAAGAACTGCGGAAGGATAAACCAAGAAAGCTAAACCTGGACCTAGTTAAAACATTTAAAAAAAAAAAAAAAAATATTAATGAAAATTAAAAACATTTCGATTTAACATTAATGGTCATAATTACCAGAGGCTGCTACATCCGCTACGGGTTTTTGTTGTTCATGAGCCATAAAACCAACCACAGAAAATATAACAATGCCACTAAGCATACTGGTACATGAATTCACTGTACAAACGATTAGTGCATCCCTGAAAAAAGTACCATCTTTTCGTGTTACAACAAACGCGATGATAAAACGTACGTTACTCACTTGTAAACATTATTATTAAATTTATTGTAACTTCCAAGTGCAACCAATGCACCTAGACCCAGTGCATAAGAAAAAAATATTTGCGTCACCGCATCGATCCATACCTATTAACATTTATTAAATTATTTACAGATCTATAGAATTCAAAAGAGGGAAAAGATAAGAAAGGAAATATATCTAATACTTCGGGATCACTGAGTTTTGAAAGATTTGGCGTTGCATAATATTTCAGACCTTCCATTGCTCCTGGTAAGGTCAATCCCCGTACCAATAAAACTGCTAATAATGCATATGGAAACAACGATGTAAAGTACACAACCTGTATATAAAAATTAACATTAATTGCATAAACATCATCTTTATTTATAAATTATGAGTAATTATGGAATCTTACTTTTCCAGTCCATTTCACGCCTTTCCAAATACAAAAATAACACATGATCCACACGACAGCTAATGTACCTGCTAGTTCCCATCTTATTGAACCTACGCTTTCTACACCATCAGAAATTTGAAGAGTACGCCTCCTTTTAAAAACAAAAACGATACATCCAAATACAGAAAAAAATATATAATAATAGGTTTTCTTGTATCATACAAACTCACTCCCAAAATTCTTTCACTGGATCTCTCAGCAGAGTATGACTTAAGTTACCAATCGAAGTAGAACATATCGTATCTTCGTCTTCGGGCCAACATAACGCTTCTAAACGTTCTGAAGAAGTGAGGCAGTAACGTGTATTCCAAGGATTGCCGCATGTTCTCCATGGCACATCTATATGCACGTAATTTAACTAATATTTAAAAAATTTTATTTAACATGCAATCTTATTGATTATATTTTATTTTTATACCCATTCGTAAGGAAACCAAAAAGTAAAAAAGTGCCCATGCCAATATAATGATATAATATACATTCGTCCAACAGGAAAGTACGCAAGTAGCGTATCCAATGCCTGTTTTATAAAAAAAGAATTTAATAATAAAGTAGTAATCAAATACTTTAAGGAAGTAATTATAGATATAGACCTTTGAAAATCGGAGCTATTTTAAAGACACCTAATCCTCCTATAGTCATCATCTGGCCCAATGATAACTCCATTAGGAACATGGGTACTCCGGCAAGTGCAAGAGCGATAAAATAAGGAACCATAAAAGCACCACCGCCATTTTTGTAGCAGAGGTAAGGAAATCGCCATAAGTTTCCTAATCCTATAGCCAATCCTACTACAGAGAGGATGAATTCGATCTTGAAACAAACGAAAACAATTCGACGTTAATAATTAATTGTTAATCGTAATATGTGTGTATGTGCGTCTCATTCATTACAATCTACATTAATGCTTTATGAAACTTCACCTTGCTGCTCCACGTTCCTCGATCCGGCAATGTTTTAATTTCTTTAAAAGCCGACGATTGCAAGCACTGAATTGCCTCGAAACGAAAATCTTGCTCTTTGCTGCCATTTGAAACTCTTATGGGTGGTTCAGCAAACAAAGCTTTTAATTCTTGAACAGGATTCGCAGGCCTACATGGCAGAGGACTAGTGGACCTATCTACCTTGGATACTTTAGAAGATCCGCTCGAAGGCATTATTTTCTGTCCGAAATACAAAGTAACTCGAATTCACCTCATCCTACTAATTCGTTATTTTTAATCTGTAAACAGAAATAAATTTAAAAAAAAATTTTTTCTCTGGTTCCTTAGATTTATCGGGGTTTATCTAAAATACCGAATATCTGGGTTTATTTTTTACTGTTTCAGATCTTGGGTTCTGCTTTAAAACACTAAAGATTAATTTCTTGCATTGTGCTCAATTAAAAGCGAACGCGAACGCGAAACAAATTTTAATATATAATAAGTGAAAGATGATCATTTCTGAAGAACTATTCAGCAGTCGTCGTAGTTACGTGAGATACTTCTGCACAAGGGTCTTGATGATGATGGATGACAGACAACGAGCCACTTCCGGGAATCATGTTTGTCAAACGTTGTTCCCATCAGACAACCTTGTCCTATTTTAGATCAATCATCGGTGAAAGAAACGATGTCATCGAAGATCATCACGTGGAACAACGAACTATGCGATTGGCGAACGTCTCGCCATAATAAAATCATCCAGATTTAAATTTTCAATTTATCATGTAGGAAGTAAAAAATTATTCATCGGCAATTTTGTCGTTCCGTCTCAAGTATTCAATCCGCGCTTGATAAATGTCCAGTTATAACTGGGAAACATATAAGAAGATTTGTCCAACTTTTAAGTGTAAACAAACTGCTGTATCGACGATCATTAACGAATTATTCATGGGTGCAATGTCCTTTTAATGATACCATCCTCGGTATAAAACAATTTACAATTTCTACACTTCAATTGTGTAATAAGCTCAATTGTATAGTGACTTGAATGAATGAAGATAAATGAATCTTTAGGATATTTTCAGTCAATGTTACTATCATCCCCAACGATTATATTGATACACAAATAAAACAATAAACTTCATAAATTTACAACATAAACAAGGATAAAAAAAAAATAATAAACGATATTGAGAAAGAATAGGAATTTCACACAAGCGTAGGTACATTAAAAAAATAATAATAATAAATTCGTTTATCTTTTTAAAGGAAAAATTTAAATTTCAGTCCTGCTGTTAATGTTTCCTGCTGAAATGTCTCTTATACATTTCTCAGAAGAGAAAACAATAAGAAGAAGAACCAAAATGGAAAAAACTAAAAAAATTCATTCAAAAGCTTTTAATAGAAGAGCACATAACGTAATGTCATATTGACACAACATAATCATTGAGCAAGTAGCATATGACAGTCTATCGATGGTCATAATGACTGACAAGAAAAGATATTTCTCTATTTCCATACAGTTCAAACAATGTACGTACGTGCACAATTTCAAGGGTAGATATGAATTGCGGTTTCCACTGGACCGATATATCGATAATAGTCGGGAAACGTCGTTAGTGAAAAGAAACTGATGAAGCGTGTCGTATGTCGGCCCGTGTCGTCACGTTCACAAATCGCGCTCACGGACGATGAGTGTTGAGATTTCTACTGTGCCCTACAGATCTACCCCACAATGGCGTTCAGTCCCCCAAGCACCAACACACCTATCGTTCCATTCAACAAATTAGTGCCACAGTGTCACTCTATATTTAGGTGCACTATCTGAATGGTGAGAGAGCACCGAGTTCGCTAATAACCGATTGACCACACCGATGGCCGCGAATTGTTCTCTTCTTTCAAGAGTACATTTAAAATGCACTGAACTACACTTGATCTTGATTTCATGGTAGGCACATGTATCATCAACTTGTTCGAAATTAAGATATAGTTGGATATTTATTTAATTAGTTTTATTATTCTATTTTATTTATAAAACGATTTATTACAGATTTATAAAAGTAATTATCGCATAGATTTGTTCCATAAGCGTCAGAACATCTATGGACTTAAAAAATGAAAGTAGCCAATATATTGTATTACTTTTAAGACACAAAGGAAAAACAAATAAAAATAAGAATAAACAAGAATAATGGGATAATACATGATGGGATTTAATAAGCATAATATCAAAGAGTGCAAGGAATTGTATTGAAATATTAAAATAATGGGACACAGAAGTCTCTTATAAAGAATAATAATTAAAAAAATTATAAGTGGAAACATTTTGTAAACTCTCTCTCCTTGCTAATTGCTACAATTTCAAGGATACAAAATAAGTCTGTTTAATTAAAGTTAAAGAATACATTATATAAAATACCTTTAATGCAAATATTATTTTATTAAACAAATTTTTGGATACTTGTTATCTGTGAATAATACTTATTACATCATAACAGTATTTTTATTTTATAAAAGTATTATATATACTTTTTATATATTATATATAGTATATAATTAAAAAACTTTTATATATTATATGTATATATATATAATTCATTAATAACTAAAATAAAATATTTTGAAATATTAGTGTATACCAATTGTAATATTGTAATTGATATGACAATATAATTAATTCATATGTAATTATTTCATTAAATAACTTAATCTTTAAATACTTATTATCAATCGTATTTAAATAAATAACGTATTATTTCAAAAATATTTGCAATTTCAATATAGAAAGAGTAAAGTAATTTCTCTTATTAAAATGTTCTTATTAAAATACTAATTAAAAAAGATAATTTAATGATTTTTGTGTGTAATGATAGAAAAATGCGTATTTATTTAAATATTATATATTTACAGCTATTAAAAAAACCTTTAAACTTTTATATTTAAACTGCCAAGGATAATACTTTTATGTCACGTGGTCAATTATTTCCGTGTTCTACTTCCGTTTCCCGCCAAAAGCCGGTTTAGTCGAACGTAAAAAGGACAAAAGGGATTTTAATAATTATCGCGATATAATCGTATATTAATTGTAATCAAAATACCAAAAATGGTTGGGAAAGGCAAGATGTATGTGATAAAACGTGGTAAGTTGTCAACTTTATTATTCTGATATTTCAAGTAATTTTCATATAATTGTATGATAAACACAAGCAGCTATACTAAACTTTTGTAATCATTAGATGGACGCAAAGAAGATGTTCACTTTGACAAAATAACGTCCAGAATTCAAAAATTATGTTATAATTTGGATATGGATTATGTAGATCCTGTAAGTTTACTTAATAAATTGTTTATTCTTATAATTATACATTATTATTAATTATACATTACATATGTTATAATATATTTTGTATTATATATGACATAAAATACTTATTTTCTGTTAGTTTTGTACAATATTGTTAAGGTTATATAGTAATAAAAATTATGTTTTTAATATTTTTTATTTTTTTATAGTCTGCAATTACTTTCCGTGTGATCAGTGGTTTATACTCAGGTGTGACTACTGTTGAATTGGACAATCTTGCAGCTGAAACTGCAGCAACAATGACTACTAAACATCCAGATTATGCAATATTAGCTGCACGAATTGCAGTCTCTAATCTTCATAAAGAAACAAAAAAAAGTTTTAGTGGTAAGAGAAATACTCAATTTCGTCGTTTTTTTAATTCGGTTTTATTGTATTTTCATTTGAATTATTTTCTTTCATTTTTAGAAGTAATACAGTCCTTATATAATGTAAAGGAACAATATTCAAATGAAAGCAGACCTGTTATTAGTGAGAAATATTACAATATCATTAAAAAAAATGCAAATAAATTAAATTCTGCAATAATTTATGATAGAGATTTTAGTTATAATTACTTTGGTTTTAAGACACTTGAGAAAAGTTATTTATTAAAGATACATGGGAAAGTTGTTGAAAGACCACAACATATGCTAATGAGAGTTGCAGTTGCTATCCATGATGAAGATATTGATAAAGCTATAGAAACATACAATTTTTTATCAGAACGTTATTTCACTCATGCATCTCCAACACTTTTTTCTGCATGTACTAGACGACAGCAAATGTCCAGGTATATTTATCAAGATCAAAATAAAGTATATTTATTCAAAGTGATAATTTAATGCTCATATTTTTCAGTTGCTTTTTACTAACAATGAGTGATGATAGCATCGAAGGAATTTATGATACATTAAAAAGATGTGCACTTATTAGTAAATCAGCTGGTGGCATTGGACTTAATGTACATTGTATTCGAGCAAAAGGTACACCAATAGCTGGTACACTTGGTGTATCTAATGGCTTAATTCCAATGATCAGAGTATACAATAACACAGCTCGGTATGTTGATCAAGGAGGAAATAAAAGACCAGGAGCATTTGCTATATATTTGGAACCATGGCATGCAGATATCTTTGAATTTTTAGATCTTAAAAAAAATACTGGTAAACTCATCTTTTTATTTTGAAAGATTTTGTGATTATCTATTTTACTAATCATATTTTATATTTCATATATGCTGATAATTAATAGGTAAGGAAGAACATAGAGCAAGAGAATTATTTTATGCTCTATGGATACCTGATCTTTTTATGAAACGAGTTTTGGAAAATGGTGTATGGTCTTTAATGTGTCCACATGAATCTCCTGGTCTACCTGATGTTTGGGGCGATGAATTTGAAGCTCTCTATACGCGGTATATTAAATTAAATTATATTAATAATACATAGTAAAATTTATTGGTGATGTTAAATATTGACAACTGGTTTATTAGATATGAGAATGAAGAAAGATATAAACGTCAGATTCAAGCTAGAGATTTATGGACAGCTATTCTTGTCGCTCAAGTTGAAACAGGAACTCCTTATATGCTTTATAAAGATCATTGCAATCGTAAATCAAATCATCAAAATATAGGAACGATAAAAAGTAGTAATTTGTGTACAGAAATCGTACAGTTTTCCAGTCCAAATGAAATCGCTGTATGTAATTTAGCTTCAATCGCGGTCAATATGTTTGTAAATCCTGTTAATCGAACATTTGATTTTCAAAAACTTTTGCAAGTGACAAAAATTGTTACTTGTAATCTAGATAAGATTATCGATGTTAACTACTATCCAGTTCCACAAGCCGAAACATCAAATTTTAGACACAGACCTATAGGTAGGTATTTCTGTTATGTAAAATATAAAATATAAAATTTGAGTATTTTAAAATGTTTATCGTATATATTTTAGGGATTGGAATTCAGGGTCTCGCAGATGTGTTCCTTTTAATGCGATATCCATTTGAAAGTGAGGAAGCACAAAAACTTAATATTCAAATATTTGAGACACTATATTATGGTGCCTTAGAAGCTAGCTGTGAACTTGCTGCAGAGAAAGGAACATATGAAACTTATAAAGGTAGTCCAGTCAGTAAAGGAGTGAGTAAAATATGTATGAAAATAATTTGTTACAATAGCATTAATATATTATAATATACTGATTATTTATGTACTTTCAGATTTTACAATATGATATGTGGAATGTTACTCCAACTGATTTATGGAATTGGACAATTTTGAAAGAAAAAATTGCAAAACATGGAGTTAGAAATTCTTTACTAATTGCACCTATGCCAACAGCCTCTACTGCACAAATTTTAGGAAATAATGAGTCCATAGAACCATATACCAGTAATATTTATGCAAGAAGAGTTTTGTCTGGAGAGTTCCAAATTGTAAATCCTCATTTATTGCGAGATCTAACTGAAAGAGATCTTTGGGATGAAGACATGAAAAATGAAATTATAGCAAATAACGGTTCTATACAGGTGGATACTTTGTATAAGTTGAAAATGTATAGTTACTAATATATCCACTAAAAAAATTATTTATAATTAATATGTATTTCGTAGAATATTGAACGTATACCAAATGATCTGAAAATGCTTTATAAAACAGTGTGGGAAATACCACAAAAAATAATCTTAAAAATGGCAGCAGATCGAGGTGCATTTATAGATCAATCACAGTCATTAAATGTTCATATGGCTAAACCAACAACAGAAAAATTGACTTCAATGCATTTTTATGGATGGAAAATGGCAAATATTCTTCATTTTTATTATTATTTTCTACATTATTTTAATAAAACTTATTTATGACGTGAAAACGCTTGCAGGGTTTAAAAACTGGTATGTATTATTTAAGAACAAAACCGGCCGTAAATGCTCTTCAATTCACAGTTGATAAATCAAAATTACGAAACGCAAATACTATTAATCCTTGTCAGGCTACTGAAAGTAGTAATGATGAGGAACTCAATTCTTCAAAAAGTGGATGGTTACGAAATCAAAGCAACGAAAGCATAGATGCTGTACTCGCATGCTCTCGCGAAAATGGAGATGCATGCATGGCCTGCGGATCATAAATATTAATATTTGTTATATTTTGTATTTAAGTTATAATTTTTATGAGTATTTATACGTGTGATGAGTGTTATATTTAAGTATACTTTTTATAATACTATACTAAGTTTTGAAAAATTGTGAAATAAAATTTGCCATCGATTTCGTTTATTCTTTTATTTTGTAATATTTAATGCTTCCTGTTTATCATTAAAATTCGAATAAATTAGAATGCAGAGATTATAATTTAAAATTTCGCGCGATACAGGATAGTCAACTAAATCTAAATAAATGTTGATCACCGTTCTTCAAGTGTTCAGGAACAGCGTCACTACGGTAGTCAAGTAAAATGTCAAAATTACAAGCGTGAAGACGTACATAGTTGCGCATCAGCTTGCTGTCGAGTAAATTTCATTAAAGATCTAGAGTGAATACATTCATTTTGGACTCATTTGTGAGTGATTCGATATTGTGCCGACTAAATATGTAATGATTTTGTTTTCTGGCCAAAACAAAATAAGGAAACATTAATAAAACGAGACTTCTTCTATAACCAATTTTAAGCACTAATGTCCAGCTGATGCATTTTAACGTATTTGACAGTTGAAATTGCGTAATTGTTGCTAGGATTTTCTTATGAGTCTTTTTACGCAATTTATTTAAATTGCCGTATAGAATGGCGGATTTGGATGACTTATTTCATTTAGATCAATACATAGGTCCAGAATCTCTTACAAAATTATGTTTCCAAGTGATCTGCAAAAATTTGGACATTATCTCGGTAAGGGATGAACATGACTACCGATATCTTTTGAAAGGAGTGGTTTTCCCAAGCGAGATATGCGATAAACTTATTAAATACGTTTTACAAAACGATTCGGATGATCACAATCATTTCTTTACGATTTTCAAAAATGTATGGATAACCAAACTTAAACGCGTCAAAGTTGTAGAATCCAATATAACTGATGATTCAGTACAGATCCTTACAAATCATAAACTTGTGAGATTAGAATTAACAGACTGCCCTAATTTAACGAATTTATCTATTGACTATATAAATGCAAATGCAGAAAATTTACATACTTTTGTATGCCGTGGAACTTCTATGGTCATTCCAGACAAACTTATAGGTAAGAACATTTGGTTGTTTATTTTCATTTCAGTAACTATATGTATTGTGATTTTAATATAAATCTTTATTGAGACATCTAGTATCTTATAATTTGTAAAGATTTTTCTAATAATTAATAATTAAAATGATGTGTAATTTATGAAAATAGATATTGTTACTATCATTAAGGTATACAAGCTATTTTATATTATGAATGAAATATATTATTATTATTAAAGTATTATCATGAAATTTAATGATTAATATATTTAGAACATCTAATTATCAATATTTGCATTTAATTGTATCATAAAAAACAAATAACTTATAAGAAAGATTACTTATATATTTATTTAATAGTCAATAAAATTAATATATGTATATGTTTTTTTAATTGTTAGCATACCAGAAACGAGGATATGTATTTAAAATACCAAATTTAAGGACCTTGGCTTTAGAATATGTTCCAATTTGTGCCTCAGAATATAACATGCTCTTGGCTGGATTAACAAATTTAACAAATTTAGATTTGTCCAATAGTTTTGATGTGGGCACATTTGATTTTTTCCATTTGATTCCCAATTTAATATCCTTAGTTTTATATAATATTAAAATTATTTCTCAAGCACAAGCTTTTGTTAGCAATATATGTCATTTGAAAAATTTAAGGTAACTATTTATTTATCTTTAATATGATAGAATAAAATATTGTATTCAAATTTTTTAATTGAATATTTTTTAAATTAGGCATTTGGATATATCTCAAATTAATCCAGAGGATGGAATATTTGCAAATCCTAATACAATCTTGTCCGATATAATAAATGGTTTGCCTCAATTAACTTCTTTAGATATTGGTGGTACAAATCTAGCAGGAATAGAAATTGTAGATCGTGGAATACAAACAGTTGAACATTCTTTCTACTCTGACATATATAATAATAATCTTTGTGACATACCAGGTCTTATATCAAGAGTAGATAGACCTTTACAATTTTTAGGACTCTACAGAGCAAATGATGCACCTTGCAGACGACGTAATATTCCAGCAAAATTGGTAAATAAAAGCAATATTTTATAAGAAGTATACAATAATATTGCATAACTTATTATTATTTATTCTACTCTTTAAAATTCTAGATTGCAGGAAATGCAAATGAAGATCAAATATTGGTTGCAGCTCATGTTTATATGAATAATAAAGAGGATTTAATGTTAAAAATAATAAGTGATTTATATCATATGTACAGATATGAAAATTGTCATAAAATGGATCAAGCACTTTGTGCAGTATTAGAAGCAATGGAGAAATATTCTACTCAAAAAGATATACAAATATCTGGAAGGTATTTAATTATACGTGATATGATTTTTGCACGCTTAAATTTATTATATATGTTAAAAAAATTTAGTATGCATATTGTTTAACAGTGCAGCATTGTTTTATATTGTGAAAATGAAAGAAAAAGGCGAATTAGAAGCCAGATTGAAAAAAAGAATTGTCCGTACTCTTCTTGTTGGAATGAGTATTCATAAAAATGAAGAAACTATGATGCGCAATGGTTGTCTAACATTATTCCAATTTCGATTACCACAAGATGTAGTATGTATTATTTTATAGCAATAAGATTATTTTATTTATCTAATATATTTTAAGAAATGTTGCTAATTCTTATTTACGTTTCATCAGATGTCACACTATGAAACATTGGTAAAACTACTTTTGCATTTAGCTAAACATGCACAACAGGAAAGTTATATTCAACGTATTGGAATATTTCTTTTAAATACTCTAGCATGTCAAGTAACAGGCAGAGAAAAGCGTTTATTAGGCAATCTCGGTTGTATAAAGACAATGCTTGAACTAATTAAATACAGAGTTGAATCTAGAACATTTGATGATGTTATGGAAGTAGCTTGGTCAACTATGTGGAATGTGACTGATGAAACTCCTATAAATTGTCAACGATTTTTTGAAGAAAATGGCATGCTGCTATTCTACAAATGTGTGAAGGTATATAATATTAATCTAACTTATTATTAAATAATTATCAAATAAAAATAATTATGTTATGAATAATATTATTTTTACAGCAATACTCTCGTAAAGAAGAATTATTAAAAAATATGATGGGATTACTTGGTAATGTGGCTGAAGTACAAAGTCTTAGAGTGCATCTAATGCAATTACCATATATGGTTGTTTTTACAGATTTAATACGTACTGTCAGAGAAAGCATTGAGGTATTTTATACTTACATCTTAATATATTTAATAATTATATTTTTATAACATTTAGTATATATTTTTTTGCTGTTAGGTACCATACAATGCAGTCGGTATATTAGCTCACATAGCATCTGATGGTGTTGGAGCATGGACAATAGAAAAACCTAGTCGAGATGTTGTTCTTGAACTTATGGTTGAAGCTATTGAACGATGGGATATATCATCAGAACGTAATATTAATTACCGTTCATTTTTACCACTATTACGTTTGGTAGATATATATCATACACCACAATGTCAACATTGGGCAGTTTGGGCTCTTGCTAATCTTACAACTGTTTATCGTAAGTATATATATTGTAAAATTTAATTCTATTTTAAATCTGTATTCATATGCAGAAAAAATTTTTAATTTAAATTTAAATTTTGTTGCTTATGCAACAACATAATATAGTACTAACAAGTTTTATTAAAACTATGATTATTACTTTAACAGCCCATAAATATTGCATATTAGTTATTCGAGAAGGAGGCCTCGAGAAATTGAATACTTTAATCTCAGATCCAAGACCATACGAACGTATAAAAGAACTTGCCCATATTGTAATTGAAAATTGTAGTCATTATAGTAGCAACTCCAATGACATGAATGTTCATTCGCCTTTAGATGAAGATTATATATATAGTTCAGATGGTTGAAACCCGATTTTCATTATTATAATTCAAACATCATAAAAGGTAGAATGTTTTATGTCTGTAACAAAATATCTTTTAAAAAAATGAGTGTGAGTAAGATTATAAAACATACTAAACATATGTACGTTGATTTGCCAAATTGTAAATTTCGAATTGAGTGCTCAGACAATCTTACTTGCACTTTCACAATATAAAATTTCATTGCATATTTTATTTATTACATATGAAATTTAACTATGAGTGAAAATACATTAATATAATAATGATATTATTAACAAGAAAATATTAATTAGTTTAATAAAAATATTTTTGATGCTCATAACCAATATTTATGGTTACTTATAAACATACTTTTTATTTATGTAAATAATTACGCTGTATTATAAATAAGACAAACTAAAATTAGACTGAAACTATTTGTTTAAATAATAATAATAGATTTCAAACTTATATTAAGTTTCTTATATCTGTGTGAATTCTTTGTAGATATTTGTATTATAAACAACTTTATTAGTTGCCATTATACTTTATTTGATAAAAAATGATTAAAATAAAAAAAATACATTAAACTCTATTATGTAAATATAACTAAAATGAAATAAGATGAATTAGGTTTACAAATTTGTACATCTCTATTATTAGAATTCTTTCAAATAATGATGCTGTTGTTAAAATTAAGCCATAAAATGAACATTATAACTTCAACTATTTGTAGATTTTAGTTATTATTACACAGCTAGGAAAATACCTGTGTGAATGATTATCTAAATGATTGTTATTGTAATCGTTATGTAACATTAATGTATGCGTGTAATAAATTGCAAAAATTCTTGATTTGTTTCTATAACATAAAGTTACATTAAGACACTCCTTTTTATTTTTTATATCGTACAATTTTCTTCAGTTTTATTACCTAAATGATCAACATGGTAAAATCTATCTTTTTTGATAAAATATTTCATTTTGAGCCTTGTATGCATATAATATACTATATGTAAATATATATATATATA